CCTTAATAAGTATTTCTTTTAAAGTGCGCATTTCCTGTTCGTGTCACTATTACTGGCATATAATCATTCTTTTTCTTCTAAATTTTGTCCGGGTTATAACTTAAATACCCTTTGACATTAAGACTTCAAGCTAGGAACAAAGATAGATGACATTAAGAAGGAGTGCACACCACCAAAACTTTTGACCATGACCAAGTCCAAGCCATAACCTGAGAACAATTTGATATTAGGATTTCAAAGTTGGAACATAGTAAGAAAACATTAATACAAGATGCACTGCACCAAAATTTTGACTTTGACCCCTTTCTTCATCAAGATCAAATTGAGAAAACACGACTAGACCATAACTTAAGAACCCTTTGACATTAAGACTTCAAACTTGGAACATGGAGGTAAAGGGGAAGGATGAATGCCATTTTTTTTCCACCAGACCAGACAATAATTTAAGATTCTTTTGAAATAAAAACTTGAAATTTTGTACACAGATCGAGAAATTTGAACTGATTTGCACTGCATTATTATTTTCTACCCTGATCGTATTATTGCACTCGTTAATGTTGGTTAAGAAGGGGAGACATGTGTTTGGGTTTGAATTTTTGTTGTTGTTGTTGTTTTGTGTGTGTGTGTGTGTGTGTGTGTGTGTGTGTGTGTGTGTGAAAAATACCCACTAGTCTATTCTATTTCATTCTATGCAACATATTTCTTTCTTTGCCCGCAGCATTGAATATCCCGAATGATTTTTTTTTCTAATTATCCTTTCAGTCATACAAAGTTTTGCTTTAATGATAATTTTTAAACTAGAGAACTCTAAATTGAATTGCAAACAAGTTAAATACTTTGAAAAAAAATGACACAGATCAACTTTTACCGTACTTAACAATCTTTCGTGGGAATAATAATAGTCATTCATCCCAGTGGGAGTACATGCATCTCTTTTATTAAAAAGTCATTGATCTTAATCGTACATGCAACACTTAGCTACTATTCCCCCGCTCCGAAGGAGAGGGGGTATACTGTTTTATCCTTGAGTGTCTGTCTGTCTGTCTAGTTGTGTTTCTGTCTGTCCGTAACAAATTTTGGTCGCAGTTTTCTCAGCAACTACTCATCGCAGTTGCTTAGAATTTTAGCACACTCTTTGTTTAGGCATGCCATATGGTGGGATTCATTTTTGTACAAATCCGATTTCAATTTCCTGATTATCACTGTGTCTGTCCATAACTGAACTTGTGTATTCACATCAGAGCGGGGGTATTATTAGTGAGCATTGGCTCACAGACTTCTTGTTTACGCCATTTAAATTTGATTTATTACGTTTTTCACCCCCTCTTAATTTGATCTCATTCCAAAGAAGGATCCAGTTCCTTTGCCACTTCGAGACGTGTTTTTTTTTTTTAACTTGTATATATGCTCTCAATTTAGTCCCCAAATAATGTTCTGACACTTAGTATAAGGGCTGATTCAAAAGTTTCTCCAAAACGTCTACCCCCCCCCCCCCCCGATTTTTCACGAAATAGATTTAAGGATATATAACACAAACAAACATTTTTCAGAACTCAGCAAAATTTCTCGTATACTTATATTAACATTGGTAACCTGAATAATGTTTTCCAGGTAAATTGGTAGAATTATGTAAGATTCTGTCAAGATGCGCATGCGGACAATTATGAGGAAGAAGTAAAGCAATATTTTCATCTTGGACCATACATTTTTTTCTCCATAAAAGTAGATTTTTTAGGTTCCGAAACCTCTAATTTTCTGATACCTAATACATTCAACAGTTGAACAAAATTCGCACGGGTCATGCAAATTTCTCTGTTTGTCAATTTTCCCGTTTGTGCGTTGCGATGTCACTTTAACCAAATACTAAAACATGTTTTGTTTAACTGTAATATATATAAATGTATAGTGCTGTTCATACAGCATGTATAGAATAAATTATAGATGCATACACAGATAAAGGAATTTCATTTATTTTGGATACTTCCATAAATTTTGGTTTTTTTCTTCTGTTACACGGGACCACAAGGCCAACTTGACCGGTCAACAGTGGAAAAATTAAGAAAGGGTTGAGATGCGGGAATATGAATATAAGAAGGAAGTTTCAAATTTCTATTAATAATTTTTAGTCTTTGTATTTTGTGGTCCGAATTTCAACCCCAAAGTTTAGGGACTTCTTAAGGTACATATAGAATAATTGCACAGAGCCGGACACTTTGAACTGCTTAACTTATGAATTATATTGGGTTTTCTGACTAGTGAATTTTCGGACTAGTGGATCTTCGGACTAGAGAATCTTCGGACTAGTGGACCGTCGGACTAGAGAACCTTCGGACTAGTGGACCGTCGGACTAGAGAATCTTCGGACTAGTGGACCGTGACCATTAATATATGCAACTTGCCAGAACGAATACAACACAGATTTTTTTTTAATCGTTAAGAAACTGTAAAGAGGTACTTGGGTCTTGGTTAATAAATATTAAGTTTACCTATTGAATATATGTAAAAAAGTAAAGGTACGCAGGCCCCATAATGCCTCCTGCTTAACTTGCTTGTTTATGCATGACTTGTTCTTTGAAAATATAGCTCACCTACCACACTCCGTGCACCAGAAGTCTCAGAAAAATTATTAATTGTCGTTAAGACACCCACATCTTCCAAACAATTCCTAATATTTACATTTCCAATGTCTTTGTCCGAGATAAAATTACAAATTGTAAAAATACTTTATTTCTACATAAATCTACTGGTTCATCGATAGGCGCGGTTAAAAAAAAATCACGTGCGGTGCGGTGCGGGACAAATAGAGACAGAAGCGGGGCTATTAGCACGGGAATTTGCTGAATCAGGAGCCTTCGGCGTTTATGCAAATTATCACGCAAGCCACTCGATTGATCACATCATGAATCCAAAAAATAAGACAGTTATTCCTTAAATATATGTTTTTGATACATTTCAAACTTTGTATTAAGTGCTCGGAACCAAGTCTTTATTATAAAATCTGATTCAAAATGACAAATGTCAGCCATTCAGACAGTTCCAAATTCTACAAACATTCCGGAAAACTAAAAATTCATTCTGAGATGATTCAAGTTATATTGAATGAACATTGTTTTAATAAGATGTGAGGTAAATAAATGGTTTATCTATGAAATTTTTCAAGTAAATAAACTCACATGTTTTACCTAAATGCCACGGGATCGTCCTCGAAAGATCTTTACACTGAATATTAACGAGTTTTTGTTTGTAAATCAAAGATTTGTTTTTTTTTAAATTACATTTTAGACACAAAAAATATAAATATGATAAGTGCATGGAAAGGAGAGATTTCATCATTTGAACACATGTGCGATAAACAGACCTAGACGATAGATTTAATTGCTGCATATTATGTGCTTTATTAATATTAAATATGAATTTATAATATACTTTGCATAACTTTGTTTATGAGTAATAAACATTTGAATTCATTGTAAAATACAGAATTCAATGTTAATGTAAGTTTGATACGAAGGTAGATATGAACAGCTGCTGAAGTAAATAATTATAAATACTACATGTATGTACATAATGCATGTGAATACATTTAGCAAAACATCTCAGGTTAACATCTGTTAAATCTGTATGCAAATTTAAATCTTTGAAATGGAGATACTGAAAAATTAATAAAATTTATAACTAAAAAATTCAGTAACTTGTTTCCTCTGAACAGTAGACACTTTCTATATTTTTAAAGTATACTATTAAGTCTTAGGTATTTGGGAAGGAATAAAAATATGTAAATAATTCAGCATGAAAAATTCAAGTATAACAATATTGATTTCATTATCAATGGTCGCCCGTGTGGCGCAGTGGTTAGAGCGTTCGCTCTAGAGTAGCGTAATAAGGAGTTGATCCTTACGTCGCGGGTTCGAATCCTACTGTGGGATGTGGAGACCGGTCCTTCGGATGAGACCGTATAAACCGAGGTCTCGTATTGCAGTATGTGCTGGCACGAAAAAGATCCCTCACTGCTCAATGGCCCTGAGTGCCGAGTATAGGTCAAAATTTGTAGCTTTCCACCGGCAAGTGGTGGCGTCTCAATATGAGTGAACAATTCTCGAGAGGGATGTTAAACAATAAACAAACAAACAAAAACATTATCAATATCATTATAATTATATCTATATGTGACGAATGTCAGCTTTGTAGAAAAAATATCCTAATACTGTTACACGTGTAAACATGGTAAATGTGCTTTTAGAAAAAGCATGCATATTTATAAATTAATTGTACGTAAAGTCACCCTGCTTTTCCAGGAGCAATACATGCACAATTCAAGATCAGTAAAAACGTGTAAAATTAACTAAAATATTCAGTAAGTACATTTAATTCCTAACCTATTCAGTCATTATATGTATTTCCTAAAACAACTAGTAAATACATGTATTAACTGAATGATTTAGAAAATACAGAGAGTTTTCTTTTTCTTTTAGAGCAGAATTACGCTCATGGATCTAGAAATATAGACCGGGATTTTGAATTACTTTACATTTTTTGGAACCCACACTTTATTCATGAACTGATGGCAGCGGCTACAGTAAAGGGGTTTGTAAATGACATAGAAAATATGTGTGAATGCCACATCTGCTGTGTTGAATATGATGAAAAGAATCATGTTCCACGAGTTTTACCCTGCATGCACACGTTTTGCACAGATTGCCTGATTAAGCATTGTAAACGACAAAAACTAATCTGCCCCTTGTGTAATCAAGAACATCCTGTGAAAAACAGAGATATAAAGATTTTTCCTAAGGATAATACCAGACGTGATCTGAAGGATCTCTTAGCAAAATTTTCTAAATCCATTTGTAAACTTTGCAAACGACATGATCAAGCAAAGTATTTTTGTTCCACATGTAACTTTCGATTGTGTCAAGGTTGCTTTAAAGAAAGAAAATCAAGTACATGCAGTAATCATCTTTTTGAAATTCCTGAAGATTCCTTGGTGACACTAGAACCATCTTGTGATAACTTACCCAAAAACATATGTTTGCTCTCTAATCATGAAAAAAAACGAGCTAAAGTATTTTTGCTCAGCAAAATCATGTGGTAAACCGGTGTGTGCCAACTGTGTTGTAGAAGGACACAATGATCATGAATATAAGCCTCTGAAGGAAGAATATGAAAAACGCAAGAAATATATGAGAAGTAGTTACCAAGCAGCTCATGAAAAGATTACAAGGGCAAAAAAGATATTGGAAACTGTAGAAAATGAATATGCATCAATTTCAGACAGTAACAGTAAAGGCAGAGAAAATCTGACTGCAGAAGCAGATAGAGGCGTTCAATATATTCGAGAATATGAAAATAATGTGAACCTTGAAACAAATGAAATTTTACAAAATATTCTGAGCAGACTAGCAAAGAAAAAGGAGCAGCTACAATGTTTTATTGAAAATGCAACAGAATGCTGTGGTATTTCAGAGGAAGCTTTGACAGGAAGTGATGTCATTGCATTTTTATCGGTTGAAAAGACTTTGACAGAAAAATTGAATTCCTTTGAGAAATCTGAAGTTGATGCACCCTTAGATCCAATTCCAAAAGAAGATATAGATCTTCAAAGTTCAACTACAGAACTCGAGGAAAGAATTAACAAAATGATTTCAGATGGTGGTGAAGTCAGCAAAAAGCCAAGCATCTTTTCATATAAAGGTAGGTCAAGACTAATTCAAGTCCCTGCAACAAAATCTTCCATACTTAACAGTTCTATTATTGTTTTGTATCTTTATGTCCTAATGCATTTTTAAATATACCAAACCATAATATAATTTGGGCATGCTCCTTTCTGTCTGTCATTCTTTCATAGGTAGTTTGATAAAGAGCTGATTTTTGGTCGACCATAATGGTTTTCTGGATCTTTTTTTTTTTTTTTTTTTTTGCTCTGCTTGTTGATAATGAGCTGTATGTTTTTTTTGTCTTTCATTTTAGGATTATGGAATTTTTTATGGGGTCGAAATGAAAAACCTGAAAGGGCATCTTGTTTTCAAGTATTTCTCTCTATGGCTGCATTGTTTTCCTTATATGGATTAATACTGTTGAAGCTTCATCCTATTCCATATTCAAGAATTTTTGAAACCGATGGTGAGTAAACCTCATTTGTCATTCTCTGCCCTGTGTAACAGAATCAGTATTAAAAAGAAAAAAAAAATGATTAATTTCATTGTAGTTTATACTACTTTGTTCCTCTGCTCCTTGAGCAATTTGAGATCTGAAAGGGTATTCAACGTCTTCCAAATAGAATTTGATTTCAGTTGCTCATCATGCTTATGAAAAACAGCAATAAAGATTAATTTGTTAAAATTCATACATTTGTGAACTATTTTATAGGGAAGTATAAATCTGCTAGGTGGGGAAAGTAGTTTATCTGGCGGTTGCTTCATAGATATCAGGTAACCAACAAGTAAGCGTCTAATAGCCTTCATGTTTTTGGTGGTCACCATATATTTATTTTTGGAGGTTGCCGAAAAAGTTGCTGGCAGTCATTAAATAAATTTCTCTTGGTCACTTGATAAGTTTTGAAATATCTGGCAGTTGTTAGATTAATTTTTTATTACCCTTAATCATAAATTTGATTAATCATATTATACAAACTCACAGTGTAATTTCTAGTTAAAGTACGTAAGCTGGACCTGAAATTATCATTTTAAGCTTCAGAAAATGATCCTTCACTCAATGTCTAATATGTATGAAAAGAAATTTGACTTCTTTTTTCCTTTGAGTAACTTTTGGTGAAAGAAATTATACTTTAATGTCTTAGGTATAGCTCTTTATAGCAAATTCTGGAGTGTCATGTTGTATTAGCAAAGATTGTACCACCTTTATTCGCTTTTTTAAATAAACTGTTATCAGGTGTCTTACATGTCTATCTATCCATTCGTCCTTCTGTAGACTTTTCACATTTTTAACTTCTTTTCCAGAACCACTGGGTCTAGAAAGCACAAAACTTTCGTAGAAAATGAAATTCTAAATTGTTCAATTGAAGGCCTAGCCCTCTTTCAATAGGATAATCAAGAAAAGGTAAAAATATACAGGTGCTATCATTCAAACATCTTTTTGAGAACCACTAGGCGAAAAAAGCTGAAACTTATCATAAGATTACTGTCGAAGTGTAAATTCTAAATTGTTCAAGTCATATACACCTGACTTAGGATGAGGCCACAATAGGGGAGAAACTTTTGCATTGAAAATTATAAGAAATATCTATAACAGTCTTTAACAGTCTTCTTTTCAAAAACCTCTTGGCAAGAAAATGTAAAACTTAAGTATAATTTTTCTTGAGATTTTTTTTCCAATTATGACCCCCAAAGATAAGAAAAAAGGACTAAATAGGTATGAAAGTCTTACATTTAAAAATATAAGATAAATCTATAAAACTCTCCTCTCAAGAACCAGTAGATTAAAAATGTGAACTCTTCCGGATGAAGATGTGTAGATTTATAATTGTTCATATCATGATCCCTGGGGATAAGATAGAACCTCGATAAGGGATCAGTGTTCAACATTGAAATATATGAGATAAAATCTTTTCTAGATCAATTGGACTACATTGAGTGAAACTCACGTAGAAGCTTCCCGAGGAAGTGTAGATTCCAAATTGTTCATTTAATGACCCCTGGAGATAGGGTAAATCTACAATAAATGATCAAAGTTTAACATTGAAACATAAATGAAAACTCTTTTTAAATATTTCTTTCTAAAGAATCATTAAATAAGAAAAAGAAAATCTATGTGGAAGCTTCAAGAGGAAGCGTAACAACCCTACTAATGTTTTCGGAACATTTTATTTTTTGGTGTTCTAAAGATAATAATAGCCAAGAAGTTCGCAGTAGCTCTGGTGAGATTTAGTGAGACTACGTTCTGATTGTGAACGGTTATGGTAAATTAGTCACGAAAATATAACTAGGAAATGACTAGCACGTGGGGACATGGTTAACAGAAAAGATATGTTTCAGCTTTTATCAATATATGTAGACATATATTTTAATCTATACCGAAATCATTCCAACTTCAATATGTACCGTACAGCGGGTATTTTTAGCGGGGTGCTTACTTAAGCTTATTTTAGCGGCTAAGTAAGCCGCTAAAATTTCAATCGCCAAATTTGCACTCTTAATTATCACTACTGAATGCAAGAATAATCACTTAAATACTTTGATAAGTCTGTTGTATAAGCAATGAAAATGAATAAACCAGGAAATCTAGGCTTCTCAAAACCATTTCTGTAAGGAGATTTGCGTCTGTAGTGTTGGTTTGGTTTGAACATATTTTATTCCAATTTGTAATTACGAAAGGATTGGGAACATGTTTTCAAAACTTATTATGTCATCTCTCTACATGTAAATTATACATTTAAAATTAGATCACAGTTAAATATATACATTCAAAATACAGTTAAATACATACATTCAAAATACTCAACGTTTGCAAAATTTACTAATCAATGAGTTTTAAAGAATCATTCATACAATTTTGCATATGTATTGCAGGTATATATAAATGAATATATTTAGTAATACTTATTCGGCGAAATGATATGACCGGTTTTTCTTTCCAACATCTTTTCCCTCGGGCTCTATTTTGAGGTATTATTGATAAATAGAATGCATTAAACAGTAGTTTACCAATGTTGTATACAGTACAATTCTGACAAAGGACTGAATTTTCGTAACTTGCAATGACAACGGACATAATGTGAATTATAGCAAAAAAATTCAGTTTTACTTTGCTTTGATTTTTATTTCAGGGGCTAACAATACCTCATACTATTGCCTGTACCTAGTGTTGGGTATTTTTTTATCGTATAATCGAAAAATATATTCATTTCAAAGAAAATGTAAAGAAATCAGAATATGTTTTAAGCAGGGTGGTGTATCCCCAACGCAAACTACTGTAATATAACCTGTTAATATCTGACGTTATTGATGCACCAACAAATATAGTGTCTGTTCTGTTCCCCATTGCAATTTGAGAGATTGTAATCAATCAACTCACTTGGAAAATGAAATAAAACTAATTATTAGTTCTCTGAAGTTATGACACCGGACGGATATCATCTTAACCTCACCTGTGTGGGCATGACAACGAACCAATTTTAGTGTTTAACTTAAAAGGTCTCTGACAACGGTACTATAAAGGAACTTAACGTGTTCCTGGCCGTGAAGGAGTTGATCATTACGTCGTGGGTTCGAATCCCACTTTGGGATGTGGAGACCGTCATTCGGATGAGACCATATAAACCGAGGTCCTGCGTCGCAGTAGGTGCAGGGCACGAAAAAGATCCCTTACTGCTCAATGGCCCTGAGTGCCGAGTATATGTCAAAATTTGCTCCGCCGGCAAGTGGTGGTGTCTCCATATGAGTAAAAAATTCTCGAGAGGGACGTTAAACAACAAACAAACAATAAAACCCAGACAAATATAAGTAGGGGCGGTAGATTCTAATTTGTTTTCAAATCTTAACACTTGATTAAGATGGGTCCACAATAAGGGATCAAAACTTTACATTCATTGAAATAAATAATAAAAATCTTTTCAAGAATAGCAAGGTCACGATTATTCAGATATGTGTGGAAGCATTTGCGGTAAATGTGAATTCAAATTTACTCAAATCATGACCCCCGTGTGATCAAAGTCTTACAAAGGAATTCACAACAGTATCGTAGTTACACAACTGACTGTTGTTGCCCATGGGCTTCTTGTATTTCTCACAGTAATGGTTTCGCAGCCACTAAAATCTTATTCTAAAATTTAATCTTATCAATAATTATGTGGTAGCAGCCAAATATTTATTTTGGGGATGTCGTAGGATTAACTGGCGGGGCCAGATAAATTCTGGCAGCCGCCAGTAAATAAATGTATTGGCGGCCCCAAAATAATTACATGTAATTGCAAGATAAATGATATCTGTCGTGCCCCAGATAATAACTGTCGCTTATGCCAACAGCCAGATAATTATTTTGCGGTCAGAAATATATAATTTGCGGTAGTCAGTAGATATAATTTTCTGATCTTACATTTTCCGAGTCCCAAATTTATGTATAAAAATATTTGATTATGTTTTTATCAATTACAGATTCCTATTCAGCAATCCTCAATAGTCAGACGTCCCTAATGTGTTATTCAGCAGACAGAAGAATGGTATCAAATAATCCATTTGAAAACATAAGACAGATTTGTTGTACTGAACAAAGTTCTTACGTATATAAGGGAGCTTTTACTAATAGAACTTTTTTGTATAAAAAAGGCGAATCTGTTATTGTTCAAATACAGGTACGTGATATCAAAAGATACCTGCCTGGGTTAATTTTGTTTGAGTTTGGAATTTCAAAGGGCTCCATTAATAGAAAAAATCTTCTTGGTTTTCCCACACAAAATCTTTATGGATGGTTTTTAAAAATAATAAACATAAATCGAGAATTTGCGTTAATAAACACAGAAGGACAGATTGTATACTCAAATATTTTTTCAGTGCTTGATAAAGGCACATTTACCTTTAGTATCCAGCTGAACCCAAATAAAACAATTACTTTGAAATCTCTCTACGAAAGTCTGAAAACCAAAAAAGTTTTGGATGAAACAAGATCAGTTAAAGGTATACCAAAAAGGGGATTTATGAAGGTATGTGATTCACACGATGCCCATGTGACCATTAAAATCATGAACAACAGCGTAGCTTTCAATAAATCCACACTCTACCCCGACGTGTATATTTCTCCCAACAACAAAACCATTTCTAACACAAAGCTTTCTTCTTTTAGTGGTAGTGAAATAGAAGGAAGTTTATATCAAGATATTATGCTCCTGAACTGTAGGTCTGAATGCATTTATGTTTTTAATTTTCGAGTAAATTCTCCTAAGAATATGCTGATTTTTTCATTGGTACTCACAAATTCTAAGTTTTTGCCTACAGCATATTATAATGTGACGTTGCTTTCTTATGGACAGTGTTCCGTTTCAAAAGTTGTGACATCTCAATCATATTGTATATCTGCGTATAAAAAAACACATTCTGGGCTGTATTCAATATCTACAGTAGAAATTCTTCCAGACGAATGGCATTCATTGATAATTACGGTTCAAAGAAAATATCAAACAACAACATTTCGTGTAGGTGCAATGGATATTGAATTGCAAAATGGTTTTATATTTGAAAAAGAAACTCCTATTTTACGTTGGGCTATGCAAAGTACAGAAGATGTTGTGGATATACGTCTAGGAAATAGTGATGAATTTGATATATATACTTGGCTGTTCTATAAAATGTTACCAATGTTTCTTTTTATTCAAAGGCATGTAATCTTGGTAATAAGCATTACTCTTGTCGTATGTTATCATGATAAATGTTATCAACTTTTAATTGAAATTATTCAATATGTTAAGAATGATTATGTCCACCAGAATAGTATTGCTGACAACATTTTTACTGCAGAACAAATAGAAAGAAGGCGTAGGGTTAAAGGTCTGAGAATTCATTGAAGTCATGCACAATGCAGTAGGGATGTTACATGCTTATGTATGTAAGGGCCGATTCAAACTTATAAGTCAGTTCAGATTAACTTAAGAGGAATATTCTAAAACTAAACTATATCTGAATTAGCATTTAATTAAATATATTGAAGTCATAATTTCACCAGTTACATCAGGTATTATATGCATAAGATGAATTGGAAAAAAAATGTTCACAATTAAGTGTTCAAAGGCAACTGGTATTCAATTTCTAAGGTACATGTAACTAATTACCAGTATGGATTGGCCTAATTATGATATAAAGATAAGATAAAGTATGTGTATTTGATTAATTTTGTACAATTTGAAACAATTTTAACAAATAACCTTTCTTCTTCTGTTGTATGTATTTGTGTACTTGTAAATTTCCATAGGTGTCATTTTCTTTGTCATATATAAAAACTGTAATATCATGTAGTCTTTCCAATTGTTTTATAGTTTTCCACTTGTGTATTATGTTCATTTCTGTTTTTCTTAATTCCAATACATGTATATACTGTATAATCATGTTGATTTCTTTTGTTTACTTGTTAATTTGTGCATGATTTGTTTGTGTGTAATATATAAAGTGACAGGGGATGGTTACACTACCTTGGCACTTGATCCTATCTCCGACGTTCATAGAAGTCCATAATTACTTTGCTTTAATGGATTCTTGAGCTTTATAACTGTTCGATATCTCCGTATTTCATACAGAATTGTAATGTTATTAATTTTAAGAAAAAAATTTTTAAAATGCTTATTTCAGTTCAATAGCCAAATAATCTCTATATCGCTGTTAACTTCATCTTATATTTATTATGAGGCAGTGTCAATTTTGTAATTCTTTCGTGTGCTTGTATGTTTAACGTCCATTTGAGAATTTTTCAATCATATAAAGACGTCAACAGTTTCCGATTGAAGGTTGAAAATTTAGATATTTAATTGGTACTAACAGCCTTTGAACAGTGAAAGATGTTTTTGTGTAAAGACCTACTGGGACACTAGACCTTGTTTTATACAATTTTATCCTAAAGACAGGTCTCCACGTCCCGCAGTGGGATTCGAACCAAAGACAAAAGGATCAATATCTTACTTTGTGATCCTTGGTCGCACACGAACATTCACGGTGAGCTTATAAACTTTGATTCTGATGCGTTTTGAACGCATTGTTTCTGAGTTATTTGTAACGTCTTTTGATATATTAAAAGAGCACACAATCTGAAGTTTCTCAACATTTTGCAAAATTGTCCTGGATGCAGAAAAATTCTGCATACGATAGTGTCCTTAAGTCGTGATTGTTAATTCGATCTGTTTCAACGATTAAAAGCCTTAATAAGTGTGAACAAAATTAATTTCAACACACTTAATAAAAGAAAAGTACAGTAAAACACGCTTATAACGAAATACCAAGGACGGGCGATTTTGCTTCGTTATAAACGTAATTCGTTATAATCGTTAAGTTCACAATATATTTTAAAGCCACCGGGAATGAAAATCACTACATTGCTAGTATTAAAGACTGTTATAAAGTTTATATGAGGCCACCTTGACTGGCTAAAAGTGGTCCGACTCAAAACTTTTTTTAACTTCTAGAAAATGATTTTTTTTTTCATTTAATTCCTGAATTTTCTTATCTCGTCAACATGTATGTTGTGTATTGATTTGGGCCGTGGATATCAGCCTGGATAGCTCAATCGGTAGAGCACTTGAAACAGGAGTCCCGGGTTTGATTCCAGGTCCAGCCATACAATTTCTCCTTTCCTGTTACAGATTTGGTGCCTTTGACCACCCCTGGAATTGCAGGTGAAAGTCCTGCCAGGGGCTAATTATTACTTGGTTTGGGTCTTCGAGGGCGAAGACAATTTAAAGAGAGATGAATGTAATGGTTTGGGCCGTGGATTTTGGTCTGGGTAGACCAGTCTGTAGAGCACCTGACTAGTGATACAGGAGTCCCGGATTCGATTCCCGGTCCAGTCATACATTTTCTTCTTTTCTGTTACAGTTGAAATTTTCTGTGAAAAAAATTCCCCACCTACCTACCGATCCAATTTTTTTAACCCGAGTCGGGAAAGGGCAAGCAAACATTATTTTATGGATGGCCTAAAGTTTCCAACGTTAGAAAATACATGTATTGCAAAGAAAATCAAATTCATGTAAATTTAATTTGTAATAAAAATATCAATATATTTCACAATACCACTCAATATAGAATTTGCAATTTGAAACACTTCATTTGTAAGAACAATATACGGTCTCAAAACAAATCTTACCCTGTATTTTTCTCTCTGAAAGTGATTTAAGGAATTAAACCTCGCGCTTTCTTAGTCGTTGAAATTCCATGCGGTAAGAAATACAAAAAGGTTTTTTTCCAAATCATTAATGGACTTCTAAATGCTAATTGTAATGTCATGAGCATTGTTCCGTCTTATTTGAAAAAGTTGCAGAAGACATCAGTTTTGAGTGGAATTTCCATTAAGATAATAAATGATAAGATGATAAAGAGCACATGCATCGCCCACAATTGTTTTGAGAAGTGTGATTTTCAAATGAATTTTACTCAACATATCGAATATAAGAGCGACGGCTGTGGACACTTTTCTTATGGACCCCCCCCCCCCCCCCGAAATGAGTAATTATGTCTTTTTCTCTTTAAAATGTAAAAATGTACCAAATGAATGACATCATATTTCCAGAGTGGTCCTTCTGCATGTAATATTCTTTCATCATTAATCACATTCATATTTATGTACTCAACTCATATTTAAGCGAATTTCATAACTTTTTGAAAATATTTAAGTAAAAATCTGCATTGGTTTTAAAAATTACCTCCTGGAGAGTTTAAATTAAGTATGCTTTCGAGAGCCAATGTTCTTCACCCGAGCCGAAGGCTCAAGTGAGCTTTTCTAATCACATTTTGTCCGGCGTCCGTCTGTCCATTTGTCTGTCTGTTCGTCTGTCTGTAAACTTTTCACTTTTTTGACTTCTTCTCAAGAATCACTAAGCTAAATTAAACCAAACTTGCCACAAAGTATCCTTAGCTTAAGGGAATTCAAGTTTGTTCAAATGAAGGGTCATGCCCTCTTGCAAGGGCAGATAATTACAAATTAGTGAAAAATTACTTGCATTTTTTAAAAATCTTCTTCTCAAGAATCACTGGGCCAGGAAGGATAAGCTCATGTGAAATCATCCTCAGGTAATGTAGATTCAGGTTTGTCAAAATCATGACCCCCGGAGGTAGGGTGGGGCCACAATGGACGATCGCAGTTTTACATAGGAATATATAGGAAAAAATCTTTAAAAATCTTCTTCTCAAAAACAGCAAAACCTTGTTAAGTCATATAGATATGGAAGCATTCTCAAGATAGTGTAGATTCAACTTTGAATCATGACCCCCAGGGTTAGGGTGGGGCAACAATGAAATCAAACATGCAATCGATGTGTTCTTTGAACTAAGGTCGATCGAGCAAAGTGACATGCTGTTATTAGAATGATATTATTATGAACGTTTATGAGGATTTTTTTCTTGTTGTGAAAATATATTTAAAAAAATACTTAGGAACACACGGTTAGTTATATTTTGAGATAACAGTTTTAATATAGGGGAAATATATAGAGAAACAGCGCACATTTTTGCGCGATAAATATACACTTTTTCAACGGTTGGCACAGTAGCTCTCCTGTTTGTCAATATATATTTCTGAGAACACATTGCACTTAATTAGATCAAGAAATTCTATGTTGATAAAAACTATTTATAAAAAGGTTTGTTCATCTGCACCCTATTTCCAGATGAGCATACAATTGTCCTGTACATTTTCTTTACATGGCATTGACGATAGATATGAGAAAATTCCGCAAAAAATATATGATTGATTGATTGTATGTTGTTTAACGTCCCTCTCGAGAATTTTTTACTCATATGGAGACACCACCACTTGCCGGTGGAGAGCTGCAAATTTTGTCCTATACTCGGCACTTACGGCCATTGAGCAGTGAGGGATCTTTTTCGTGCCAGCACCTACTGCGACACGGGACCTCGGTTTATACGGTCTCATCCGAAGGACCGGTCTCCACGTCCCATAGTGGGATTCGAACCAGCGACGTAAGGATCAACTCCTTACTTCGCGACTCTAGAGCAGACGCTCTAACCACTGCGCCACGCGGGCGCAAAAAATATATGTAAATGTACATTAAAATTATGATGGCCTTTGTTTGGAAGCAAAACGATGATTTATACACATACAAAGTATGATATCCACCTCGCCGAGGTTCGGTGAATATTTCTAATTCTTCTCAGGTTGCGATTTCATACTTGTACGTGTAGGTCTAGTAGGGGAATTCCCTAAATTTCTCGTGTATTACGTCATCAGTTTTAGCGTTGACAAGTTTTCTACACGTTCCTAGAACTTGTAAAATGGCATCTACACGTAAGTGTAAAATTGTAGCTTTTATAATAAAAATTAGCTAATTTATGTGTGAAAATGATATTGTTGTTCATTATTTAGAATGTAAGGTTTCAGGAACACTTATTTTAACCATGTTTTGTTCACCAACTTAAGTCAAACTTATGTTACAAAACTACTAAATAGTTGAAACAGAGACACCGACTGCAGTCTACATGTTCATGTTACACGTCATTAAAATCTCAACAGACAAATTACAAAAAACATGTACGGGTACGTCAAAGTTTGTGCACACGTATAAATTTAAAATCTCAACCTCTCTAATTGACCACAAAATAGCAATAATTGTAAAATGAAATTTTTTCTTCTAATAATTAGCTTATAAATATACTGAAAGAAAAAGAAACGCATGGTAACACAATATGCCAAACATTTTTAACTGCATGGCCAAAATTTACCAAAAAGGGTCCAAGGGGTATCTTGGTAACTGTGCACTCAAACCAGTGTTCAGAATTACTCAACCGTGAAACATATGACGTCATGTAGGGAACGTGGTTAAAAGCCAAAACACGTTGCATATTGATGATGAAATGTTTGTAAACACATCTTACCAATTGATGCAGTGAAGAAATACACATTATTTTTCAATATGCAAAGACAATTTGAAGTATTCGTAATCATTACATGGCTGATGGAAGTTCAATGGGACCTGGCTATTTCATTGCCTAAGCAAGGAAAAAGGAAAAAAAACAGGTTGTTGTGCTGTTTGTTGTAAAGTTTGTCACCACAGAACGTCTTATCCGTCGTCATAACATCGCCGCATCAAGACTGGGCTATACATCCTGCCATCTATGTAATCGCCACTTACGACCACTGAAACCACTAATAATACAGTAGGCAATCATAATCGTTACATTCACCCAAAAACTGAAAGATACTCATTGCGCGATTTTGGTTTGTGAGCTTTACGTCAACTTTACGTCA